TCCCTACTTGCTGTACTATGGCTCGATCCCTGCAGTCATCTTTTGCTGAGACTCCTGTGGTACTGGTGCACTGCTTCCTCCTGGGTGCCTTCAGCCTATCTTAATAATGAATGGATTTCACTGTGAGTCATGTCTGCTCTACACTTTTCAGTGACGTTCCATTTCAGAGCAAAATCTAGAGGCTTTTAGACTGGCCTGCACAGCACTTTCTTCCTGATACATCTCTCCACCCTCACCTGTCACTCCAACCCGTGCGCTCCCTCACTAATTTAGCCTCAGCCCTAATGGTCCTGACATCCTTGCTGTTTCTGGAATAATCTGGCATGTTTTAGCCTCGAGGCATCTATTTCTCCACCTTCCCTCTCTCTCTCTCTCTCTCTCTCTCTATTTTTTTTTTTGAGGGGGCATACCCAGCAGTACTAGGGCTTACTTCTGGCTCTGGACTCATGAATGACTACTGGGGCACTCAGGAGACCATGTATGAGATTTTAAAGATCTAAACTCAGTCGGCCATGTGCAAAGCAAACGCTTTATCTCCTATACTATTACTCCAACCTCTCAATTAGAATTTTTCTTTCTTCTTCTTTTTTTGTTTCTTCAATTGGGATTTTTTTTTTTAGCAGATACAAGCATGGTTATATTTCTATGTTCTATGGCTTTTCCCCACATAATTGTTGTTAGGAAGTGATCCCAAAATGGTAAAGGTCAAAGGTCTTTCACTCTTCTGGGGTAAAAAATACGATGGTTGGGGGCTGGAGTGATAGCACAGCGGGTAGGGCATTTGCCTTGCACATGGCCAACCCGGGTTTGATTCCCAGCATCCCATATGGTCCCCCGAGCACTGCCAGGAGTAAAATTCCTGAGTGCAGAGCCAGGAGTAACCCCTGTGCAATGCCCGTGTGTGATCCAAAAAAGCAAAAAAAAAAAAAATACTATGGAAATCCAACAAGCATTGCAGAAAGAAAACTGATGAAACAAATTATAATAAATGGAGTACTAGGCCAGAGAGGTAATACAGAGGTTAAGGTGCTTGCCTTGTAAGTAATTGACCCCAGTTTAGCCCTAGTACCACATATAGTTCCTTGAACAGACAACCAAGAGTAAGCCCTGGAATCACCAGGTGTGACCCAGAAACAAAATAAAATATGTTTCAATTAATAAAAGCAGTACCACTTAGTCACTAAAACCATAATTTAGAAGCAGACTTAATAACTCATTAAAATGTTTATAAAACAAATAAAATAAAATAAAATAAAATAAAGGGGAAAAATGTTTATAAAATCTTAAAGATAAAAGCAGATTATAAAACCATATAGAAAAACAACTTTAAGCATATTGAATAAATAATGGATGCTTTTACTATTATTCTTGGCGATTTACACTTTTTTCAAATGTCCTACAATAAATATATCTGCTAAACAAAACAACAACAACAACAAAATGCAACCAAGAAGTTGCTGGAAGCCCAGTGGTCCTCCGAGTTCAGAGTGAAGGCAAAGCAGCTTCACCTGTGTCCCGAACAGAGCTTCAGGCCCGGACTGCACGCAGTTCTACTGGATGTGGAGGGCTTTCCTTTGTCAACTCTGGTTACTGTAAAGTCAGTAAGGAGAGAAAGAAGTTTTTAAAAGTCTGGTTATGCGCCGAAGCTGTAGTACAGTGGGAACAGCAACTGCCTTAAACACAACTAACCCAGGTTGGATCCTGAGCACTGCCAAGAATAAGCCATGAGTGCAGACTAGTAATAAGCCCTGAACACTGTTGGGTATGATCCCAAAATAAAACACTCACACATTATATTACATTAATATAACATTAATAGAGTACTAAACTGGCAAAAGTTTTAAAATTAATTAATAATATTTTCCCCTTTTGTTATTGTTGTTGCTACGGGCAGAGGTTCCAAAAACTCGGTTGTTGTGTTTGCACTCTGGGTTGTAGTACCTGCGAGATCACTCGCCTTGTGTAGCCAGTGATCCCAGAGAGCAGAGCCCCTGCCATCTCTCTGAGGCATGTGTGGAGGGACAGGAATTGAACTCATAGTTTTACGGGCCTCAGGTTTGCAAGGCACACACTTCTGCGCCAAGCTACCTTCAGACCTAACAGGTAGCACTGTCCTCCCATTGTTCATTGATTTGCTCGAGCAGGCACCAGTAACGTCTCCATTGTGAGACTTGCTGTTACTGTTTTTGGCATATCGAATACATCACGGGTAGCTTGCCAGGCTTTGCCGGGCAGACGGAATACTCTTGGTAGCTTGCCAGGCTCTCCGAGAGGGGGGGAGGAATCGAACCCAGGTCGGCCGCGTGCAAGGCAAATGCCCTACCTGCTATGCTATCACTCCAGCCCCACTCAAAAGGCAAAAAAATAAAAATAAAAAAGAGCCAGTATTCAAAAGGATGTGGCAAAGATTATATGTGTAACAGATATATTCATACATATGCTTATACACTTTATATATATTCATAGTGGTGACACATATTAGCAAAAGCCTTTTAATTATTTTTCTTTAATTTTTTTTGGGGGGGGCACACCTGGCGGTACTCAGGATGTAATCCTGACTCTGTGCTCAGGGATCACTCCTGGTAGGCTTGGAGATCACATGGGGTGCCAAGGATTGAACACAGGTCGGCTGCGTGCAAAGCAAACGCCTACCTGCTGTGCTATCACTCTGGCTCCAGCACAAGCTTTTTAAAAAGCAAGTTAGCAATATGGGATATTTCTTTATAAGAACCATAAAATGAAAGTATTTAAAGTTATATAGTCACCATGGGAAACGGTTTGGCAGTTTCTTATAAAATTAACATACCATTCAACCCAACAGTGCATTTGTGGCCATCTTCTGAGGAAAAATAAAAAAATTGTGTCCATATAAAAACCTTTACATTATATTAACATCAGGGTTCCTAACCAAAAAAAAAAATAATAACACAGATATCCTTCAAAGGGTGAATGGTTAAACAAACCATGGATAATCAGCAACAAAAAAATGAGCTATTAATACAAGTAAGAGTTTGCAAAATATCCAGGGAGCTATGCTGGTAGGAGAAAGCAATTCTAAGAGGTCACATATTATATGATCCTGTTTTCAAATTGTGTAAATAATATTTCAAAAAGTATAAATAACTTTTTTGTTTTTGGACCACACTCAGAGTGCTCAGAGGCCACTCCTGGCTGGATGTTTAATTAGGGGACTGTCCTAGCAGTGCCAGAGATTGAATCTGGGCATCCTGCTTGCAAGCTCTCCTGTCCGTTGAACTATCTTCCTGACTCAATGTCCACATTCGAAGTATCAATATCATTGAAATAGAGAACAGATTAGTGGTTGCTTGGGGAGTGGGGGTGGGGGTGGAAGAGAGGTGTATCCAGAGAGATTCTTTAGTGATAGAAATATCTTGAATCTTGACTTCAAATGTCAGTACCATCGTTGGAATATTGCCCTGACAGTTATGTAAGATGCTACTATTGAGGGCTCCTGAATCAAGGGTACTTAAGGTCTTCTGCATTATTCCTTGCAATTGCATGTGTACCTACAAACATCTCCATCTTTCTTTAAATTTATTTTTAAATGGTACATCTTCTAGCTATTTTAACAAGTCCGAAAAATCTGTTTTAGGGATATAATCCAAGAGAAGTTAAAAAGTGTTAGCTGTGAACATGCCCGCTATGTTCACTGCAGCGTTTTTATACAATAGAGGAAATAAACTAAGTGTCTAGACAGGAAGATAGGCAAATCATAACATAGCCACCTGAGAACCAAATAGTAGCTTGATAGCACGATTAAAAATGTATTTGAAAACAACAGTAGGTTCATACCACTGGTACAATATGCCAGCTCTGTGAAAGGGTCTGGAGTATTAGAAAGATTTCAATAGCAGTGCTCTGTGTAATTTCAACTGAAATGCTTTTCTTCCTGCTAGCTTGCCCCGATATTGTTACATGGTTTTGTTACACTGCAGAATAAGAGTACATTTTGCATTTCTCCCCAGATCACTGCTGAACACAGGAGTTATTTGCTTATATGCAAACCCTGGAGAGAGCTCAAAACGTAAGTAAATATCCTTATACGATAAGAACGCTAGTATGGCAGATAGTATAGCAGGGAGGATGTTTGCCTTGCACGTGGCCCACCCAGGTTTGATCCCTGGCGTGATCCCAACACGGTCCCCTGAGCCTTCTAGGTGTGATCCCTAAGCCCAGAGCCAAGAGCACTGCAGGGTGTGACCGCCTCACCAAACAAACAAACAAACAAACAGAAGAAAAATCTCCTTATACTCAGGTGATGAAGGATGGGATGGATGAGCCCTTTTATGCATTTTAACAATCAATTACCCACGCCTGCGTCACGTTAAATTCTTTCAATTCGTCCCTCCCCAACTTGGCTTTTCAGGTTCTGGGTTTAAGACTGCAAGTGCATAGGGTCCCCCAGTTCTGAAGCCTGGGCGGAGGCCACGAGGCACCGGGGTCCGCTCACCGTGGCTGCTCGGGCGCAGCACCCACGCCGCGCGCCACGTCCCCCCCGCCCCTCCGAAATCCGGGGAGAGGACCACACTGCAGGCGGAGGGCGCTGGGCGGGGGGTGCGGGGTGGGTGCGGTGACCACCCCAAGGTCACCGTCGCGCCCGCAATCGAGGCCCAGCGCAGCGCGGGCTCCCCCGGTTCGGAATAGGGGGGGTGGAGCGGGGTTCCAGCTCTCTGTCCCGCGCCCTCCCTCTCGCCCCTTCCAGAACCGCGACCCCCCAACCGCTCGCAGAGGCTGGGCAGAAGCGGATCCGCAACCTGCGCTTTAGAGGCTGCCAGGGCCAGCCCCGGTCCCCCCAGCATCCGAGTCCCGCTCGGAGCGAGGACCCTCGAGCGCTGCAACCCCGGCGTCACCCAGACCGCTCTTCCTTTTTCGCCCTCTCAACCCAGCTTTTCCCGACTCCGGGAAGAACCGGGAAGAGAAGGCGGAGGGGAGTGCGGCGCCGCCGAATAAATACTGTGGCCAGGCCCCGCCCACTGACCTCACTTCCGTCCCGCGCCAAGATGGCGGCGCCCGGGCCCTGCCACGCAGACTTCCGCCGGGCGCGGGGAGCCGGGGCCGGCCGCGGGCGGCGGTGAAGGCGGACGCGTGTGTGGGACAGCTGCGGCGCGCTGGTGCGGCCGAGGCCCCCGAGGAGGTGCCCGGGCTCGGGCGGGCCGAGGCGAGCGGGGAGGCCCTCGCCACGTGGGAGGGGGAGGAAGGAGCCGCACGCTGCGGGAGGGACGCCCCGCGCGGGCGCGGGGGGCTTCGGCGCGGGTACGCGAGTCCGACCCGGGCTCCTCTCTGCTCCGCTTCCAGACACCATGTCGGAAGGAAAGGCGGCCGGCGAGCCCAGCGCCCCGGGAGGGTCCCGCTCCCTCCTCACCGGGGCCCGGGGGCTGATCGGGCGGCGACCCGCGCCGCCGCTCACGCCGGGCCGCCTGCCCTCCATCCGCTCCAGAGACCTCACCCTCGGCGGAGTCAAGAAGGTACCTCCGGGGCGCCTTTCCCCCACGGCACGCGACCCCCTTGAGTTCCGGACCCCTGGGTGTGTGTGTGGGGGGGGTGCGTGTGCCTTTGGACACCTTGGCGAATCCCTTCACGCAGGCACTCACTTTGCCTGCAGGTACGAGATGGTGCTCAGAAGTTGCTCAGAGATGCTGCAGGGGCTATTTCGAGGCATTCCGAAGCAGTGTGTGTGTGTGCGTGTGCGTGTGCGTGTGCGTGTGTGTGTGTGTTTTCAAGGCATTCCGAAGCAACGTGTGTGTGTACACACCTTGGAGAATCCCTTGAAAGCCACGTAGAGACTCACTTTGCCTGCTGCAGGAACTAGATGATGCTCAAACGGTGCTCAGAGATGCTGCAGGGGCTAATTCAAGGCATTCCGAAGCAGCGTGTGTGTGCCTGTGTGTGCGCGCGTGTGCACACCTTGGAGAATCCCTTGAAAGCCACGTAGGGACTCACTTTGCTTGCAGGTATGAGATGATGCTCAGAAGGTGCTCAGAGGTGCGGGAGAGAGTGAGTATGTACACACCTTGGAGAATCCCTTGAAAGCCACACAGGCACTCACTTTGCCTGCAAGTAACAAGATGGTGCTCAGAAGGTGCTCAGAGGTGCCGTACTTGCCTGCAAGTAACAAGATGGTGCTCAGAAGGTGCTCAGAGGTGCCGTAGGGGCTAATTCAAGGCATTTCGAAGCAACTTAAGTGTGTGTGTGTGTTTTGGACGTGTGTATATGTGTTTTTTTGGACACTTTGAAGAATCCCTTGAAAGCCACACAGGTACTCACGTTGTCTGCAGGTATGAGATGATGCTCAGATGGTGCTCAGAGATGTTGCAGGGGGCTACATCTCAGCATTCCAAAGCAACTTGAGTGAAAGTGAGTGTGTATGTGTGTGTGTGTGTGTGTGTGTGTGTGTGTGTGTTTTGGACACGTGTGTGTATTTGGACACCTTGGAGAATCCCTTGAAAGCCCGCAGGCACTCACTTTGCCTGCATTTTGAGTTCTTAGGCATGTCTGGCATTAGAAACTCCTATTCCCATCTGTTACATCTGCAACTGTGACTAGAAAAGAGAGGTGACAGGCGCATAAAGCAGCCAGTACGTAAAGATTTCTTTCCCAGTTTTGCCCTGGGGGAGTTTGCTGGGACTGTTAAAGGCAGCTTTTGCACCTTACCTTGCCTGAGTGTGGTCTGTGGATTCCTTTCCCCATGTTCTTCCCATGTTGTGATTCTCCAATTTGATGACAAGCTTGGAGATTAAAGTTAGAAATCCTCAGAGCTCTCCTTTCAGAGGACAGAGATGGGGACTGCTAAAGTGATGGTGGTGGGCGCCCCTTCTGTTCGTAACTCCCCCCCCCCCATACCTAAGCACTGAATTTTCTGGGTTGTGGAGAAGAGTCAGAGTGATCTTGGTCCAAGAATATGCATTTGGGGAGGTTTTGTTTTTCTCTATGCCTTGGGGTCAGAATTTACCAAACCAATATCTCTTGTATTTTATTTTCAGAAAACCTTCACCCCAAATATCATCAGTCGGAAAATCAAGGAAGAGTAAGTAGCTAGGACCTCTGAAAATGTGCATCTGAATGTTTACTCTGAATTTGGAACTTTGGGGGAAATTGCTAGAAATTTATATGTATATTTAGGTCATTTCTCCAGTAGTTTTCAACCCTAGTAGGTGATTTTAGTCTATAAGTTATTTTAGAAAACAAGAGGCAGACAAAAAAAAAAAAAACACTGATGCCTGGAGTTCATCCCTGTAGGTTTTGATTTAACGTGATTTAGTTTTTTTGCAAAGAAAGTGATTTTGTTGTTGTTGCTTTTTGGGTCATACCCAGTGATGCTCAGGGGTTCCTCTTGGCCTGCACTCAGGAATTACTCCTGGCAGTGCTCAGGGGACCATATGAGATGCCAGGGATCATACCTGGGTCAGCCGTGTGCAAGGCAAATGCGCTATCCACTATACTATCACTCCAACTCTGAAGTGATTCTATTGTCAGAGTTGAGAAACAATAATTTAGACAGAAGTATGTCACATTTTCCCTTAAACTATTTGTATTACAGCCTTCCTGCTTTCAGTCAGTATAAGAGTCTGCATTTTTCAAGGACCACTATGATTCAGCTTTGGGGTTATAGTTCTTGTAAACACTTTGGGGTTATAGTTCTTGTAAACAAAAAAGAAAAGTAAAGCAAGCTTGAAGATTGCCACATCATGGAAGTGATAAAGTGCTTGGCCTAGGGTTTGGTTCTGCCTCTTGAGATGTAGTTACTGGTTCATAAACTCACCTCGCTGGTGGTGTGAAGTTTCCCGTTCTTTGGGTTACCCGCCCTGTGTGGGAGAGTGAAATCTGTTTTCTGGGGTGCAGTGTGAGTGAATGGCTTTCGTGAAGTAATTCTCTTTTCCAGGCCCAAGGAAGAAGTAACCATCAAGAAGGAGAAGCGAGAAAGGGACCGAGACCGGCAGAGAGAGGGCCATGGGCGGGGTCGAGGGCGCCCAGAAGTGATCCAGTCCCACTCCATCTTTGAGCAAGGCCCTGCTGAAATGATGAAGAAAAAAGGTACAAATATCTGAGCCTGGGAGGAGGCAGTTAGTGGAGTTCTGTCAAGCTGCTCTGTCAGAGAAGAATGAGGGCGGTGGACTTCCCTGCGGCCCCTTCGGTTTTTCTTGCTGTGACCTCTTCCTCACCTTGTGAACTGGATGATTTTCCACAGGGAATTGGGATAAGACGGTGGATATGTCGGACATGGGGCCCTCTCATATCATCAATATCAAAAAAGAGAAGAGGGAGACGGACGAAGAAACGAAACAGATCCTACGCATGCTGGAGAAGGATGACGTAGGTAGCCGGGGGGGAGCTGCTCTGGGACTGTTGTAAAGATGCTTCCAGGGAGCAGGGCCCAGGTGGAAAAGAGGTCAGTGGTGTTCTGCAGTCCTGGTGAGCCACAGGAACTGTCTTTAGAAAAGGACTACGCTAGACTTGAGTTCAAGTTCTTGTGTATGTGCTGGACGGGTTATGTGACCACCCCTTTCCCCCCGTCTTTTGCAGTTCATCGATGACCCTGGGCTGAAGAATGACACTCGAAACATGCCCGTGCAGCTGCCACTGGCCCATTCCGGGTGGCTTTTTAAGGAAGAAAATGAAGAACCAGATGTGAAACCTTGGCTGGCCGGTCCCAAGGAAGAGGACATGGAGGTGGATGTGCCTGCCGTGAAAGGTGAGTGGGGACCACTGCCTTCCTTCTCGTCCCCTTTTCAGTGGTCGCCTCCGGGAATTCCCCACAGGAATAAGCTCCCCCCCTCCGTCCCTCCCCCCAGACATCAGCAAATAAGCAGGCCCGCTCCCATTCAAGCTCTAAAGTAAAAAGATGCTAAAGTCTGCTCTCTGAGGGGTCAGGCGCTGTCATGGATGAGCAGGCCTCCCTCGTTTTCAAATGATGTCCCACTGCTCCTGTGTCCCTCTACCTAACCAGGGTCTGCCCTTCGACTCCCAAACTGAGGGAAAGAGGGGGGCTGAGGGGAGGGTGCTGTGAGGTGGCATCAAGGGTGGCCCTTTGAAGGTGTTTCCCTTGACCCCAGTGAAAGAGGAGCCACGAGACGAAGAGGAGGAGGCCAAGGTGAAGGCTCCTCCCAGAGCAGCCAGGAAGACTCCCGGTCTCCCGAAGGACATCTCCGTGGCTGAGCTGCTCCGGGAGCTGAGCCTTACCCAAGAGGAAGAGCTGCTGTTCCTCCAGCTGCCCGACACGCTCCCGGGCCAGCCGCCCACTCAGGACATCAAGCCTGTCAAGACCGAGGTGCAGAATGAGGACGGGCAGATGATGGCCATAAAGCAGGAGAAGGACCGGGTATGCTCACCATTGACTTCCGGGAAGATGCAGGGGACCAGCAGGGGATAGCCACAACCCGGAGAGGTGTGGGGGAGCCTTGGTGCCGCCCAGGCAGAAATTGGAGATTAAGAGGCGTTTGTGTTCTTTCTACCCACGAGAGACTTGCACTTTGTCGTTCAGCCCTGAGTGTGTGTGTGTGTGTGTGTGTGTGTGTTGGGGGGGGGTTTTCTACTGACAAATGATACAAGTGAGAGCGCATGCACGCTTGGTGGCAGCGTCAGCACAGCAGTTGTTGACATTTTGCCCATTTGTTGAACATGTTGCAGATTTTTTTTTTAAAAAACAACCCTGTGAAAAGATCCTTTTAGAGAGGAGCACATTCTTCTTTTTTTTCTTTTTTTTTCTTTTTGGGTCACACCTGGAGATGCACAGGGGCTAGTCCTGGCTTTGCACTCAGGAATTGCTCCTGGCAGTGCTCAGGGGACCATATGAGATGCTGGGAATCGAACCCGGGTCGTCTGCGCCCTACCTGTTATGCTATCGCTCCAGCCCCAAGAGAGGAGCACATTCTAATGTTTGCTGCCGATGCCCAGCTTTGGAAAAGGGTCATTCCTAAAGGCTGGTGGACAGAGCTCTTAACCGTGTCTGCATTCCTTGATTCTCTTGGCAGGAAGCCAGGCTGGCAGAGAATGCCTGTACCCTGGCTGACCTGACAGAGGGTCAGGTTGGCAAGCTACTGATCCGCAAGTCAGGAAAGGTACAGCTCCTCCTGGGCAAGGTGACTCTGGACGTGACAATGGGGACGGCCTGCTCTTTCCTGCAGGTGAGAGCCCCGGGAGTCGGGTTCAGTGCCTTTAGGGAGAGGCGCTATTAGGAGTACCAGCTAAGAAGAGGGAGTGGCCACGATGGTGCTCATCACTGCCTTTGTCATTGGCAGGAACTGGTGTCTGTGAGTCTCGGAGACAGTAGGACAGGTGAGATGACGGTCCTGGGACACGTGAAGCACAAACTTGTATGTTCCCCCGATTTCGAGTCCCTCTTGGATCACAAGCAGCGGTAAAACGAGGAGTTGAAGGATGGTGGCGACTACGCCCACGGCTGCTGCCTGCTCCAGACTGCTGGGTGCGATGCCGGAGGGGCCTGTCAGCCCGCACACGCCAGCCGTCAGCAGCCTCTGTCCTGGTCTTCCCCTGCCCCCACGGCAGTGAGTGAGACTGCTCATCCCGGCACTGGGACTCCTCCCTCTTTATTTATTTTCTGTGGGTGTCTTCCCCTTTCCGCTGACTGCCACCTCCCTGACGGAGAGGGGAGGTCCGTGGTGGGTCCAGGCTCCTGGTCTGGGCGCTTTGTGTGGGTGCTCCGGGCTGGAAGCGTGAGCGCTCCTGCTGCGTGCACCACCCCCTTCCTCCTGAACTGCGGGCAGGGAGGATTTGTGTCTGAGGACCCAGCCCTGTGTCCTAGCTGTGTGACCGTGCGGGCAAACTACCTAAGCTTTCCAAGCCTCGCATTCCCCATCTGACCCAAAATGAGGCTCCTACTACCTCTCGGGGCAGGCGTGAGGATTAAAGAAATACAGTTGAGGGGAAGTCCTCGCGGGCCACGGTAGGCACTCAGTAAATGTCAGGTTCCTTTTGCCGGAGGCCTTTTCAAATATGATGAGAGCTTCCACAGCTCCTCCAGAATGACTCGTGGCTTTCCCCATGCATTCTAAGCCCATGGTCCTCCAGACCCGGTGCTGCAGAAGACTGAGCTTCTTGGTTCTGCACACTCTTCTCCCAGTGCCCTATGTTCATGGGGGTGAGGCACTTCAGTTTTCTCAGACGAGCAGTATCTTTCCCCCATCCCGGCACCCGGCAGATGTTCTTGGAAGTCAAAATTAGCCCCATCTGCCTCCTGCACTAACTCCTGTAGAACCAGCCTGCACTCTACTTACTCCCATGAAATTGTTGTTAGTACCTAATTTTTGTAAGTGGTGAAGTCCTCACTACATCATATGCTGCTGAGAAACTTACTTGGTTAGACCGGAAGTAGTGACGTGTGGAGGAATGACGACTTAATACCCTGAACAGATGGCTCCCACCTCAGAAGCTTTGGTTTTGAGAGGCCCCTCTGTCTCCTGTCAAGTGCCCACCCACTCTACTTGAATCTCTGTCCAGCTGCTGCTCTGTCCTTTGGGACCTTGTTCCTTTCACCAGGCTGGGACCCTTGAGTGTATGGTCCCTAGAGAAGCAATTCTGCACCCAGTCTCTGGCTGCGGACTGATTTTCCCCGGGTGCAGGGGGTGCTGTCTTGGAGGTTAGAGAAGGTCTCCTGCCCTGAGCTCTCTGGTTTGTGCCTGTGTCACTGTCGCTTTGGTGGAGCTGTGGAATCCACCTCTGGAGCGGCGACGAAACCGGCCAGGCTTGGTCAGAGCTGCCTCTTCCCAACGTTTCAGTGGCCCCAGCACTTTTGAAGGGATTCACATCCCTTACTCTCACCTTTTCCACACTGAGCCATTTTCATCACAACTGGGACTTTTCCACACTGGTCACCGGAAGCTGCCCAGCCAGCAGCTGTGAGATGAACAAAGAATCACATCCCCTTGTTGTCCCCCATGTAGCTCAGCACCCAGGGAGCTGTAGAGAAGTTGTGTTCTCTCCTCACTGTGGAAGGCTGGAGCTGAAGCCTTCCTTGGAGACACATGCCTTGGACGTCCTGTTGGGTTGTGGTTGAGCTTCAAAGGAACAGCTGTGATGCGGTATCTGGGTTTCTGTACTCGCTTCTCCTTTTCACTGGCAGGGCCGCTGCCAGGGGGTCTCTACTGTGAGACTCTGCGCTCAGTTTGTTTCATGGACACTTTCTGCTGCTGCTTTGGCCAACTCGCAGGCCCTTGTTAGAATGTTTGGGAGTTTGCGGTCTTCAAGAAAGCTCAAGGAAGAGCATGTGCCACTTTCATCTTTGTACACCATTTCAGGTGTTCTGGGGATTGAATGTAAGACCCTGCATCAGAGTCCCTGTCACCTATTCTATCTCCATGATGCCCAGATTGGATGTCATCAATAAAAGTATAGAAGAAAGATGACGCACATCTGCTTTCTTGCCAAGCCTCTGAAGCATACGTACAAACCAACAAATAAATGCAGGTCACAGGAGTAAGAACCCAAAGCCAAATTAAAGTATGAAAGTACATGTGAATTTATAACCACCTGCTTATGTGTGTATGTATTTTGTTAGGGTGCTAAAAGAGCTTTAGGCTCATTTATGTTTTTCAGCTACTTGATCAAGTGACAAAGTTTGAACTTTAGAGGCAGGTTTAGATTTGATTCCGCTTCAGCCCATCAATAACTTGGGTGGAGGATAATTACTTCCCTATGCTCAGTTTTCTTTCTTGTCTGTAAAACGGAGACTATCTGCTTCTTAATAGAGTTGCAATAGACTAAAGTGGACAGGAGGCATTTATTCAGTGCCAGACAGAAAATGCTGCTATCAGGATGTGCTCAGCTCAAGTGACTGGAAACTAGACTGACAGTCACTTTGGAAATAAGGACGTTTGATTATCTCTTCTGACAAGCAAGTTTGAAAATAGCAAGTTCCAGAGTTGGGTGGCAGCCAAAATGGCATCAAGTTGTTCTTGGTTCCATTTGCTCTGCCATCCTTAGTGTTACAAAGTGGTTGGTAGAGCTGATGCTCTGGATCATTTTTGCAAATGGTTGTGTTCAAAGGAAAAGCATGATGCGAAATAGATGACAGTAGAGGAACGTTCTCATTCTGCACCTGTCAGGATTAACCTGCAGAGGCCTCAGCACAACTGCCCAGTGTCTGCTAGGCCAGGTCACACCCTCACTTTGGACAAGGTACTGACAAGGGCTGGGTGGGCCGCTTTGTCCCCTGCGCTGGGTATCCTAGTGCCTGTGGGACAGGGTTTTGTTAGCACAAAAGCAGAGCGACAGGTCCATCCTGTTGTTAGCACCATGTTAGACAATGCTGTCTACTGGGGATAAAGGAAAAATAATATGTATAATCTATGTGGAATCTTTTAAATTTTCACATTCTTCTAAATAAACCAGTTTTAACATTTATAGAGTATTTCCTTTAAGACTCCCAAGTTTTTAAATTATATTTATTGGTATAAATACGACACTTCTGTCACACGCTTTGTCTCTCTTCATTGTCCTCCCACGTTAATGAGCATCTTGTTCTCCCCACACTTCTGACTAGCTGAAAGAATTAGGACATTATGAATCTTGCAGGCCAACCCATGCTGGTGGGAAGTGATTGGTCAGCTTGTCGCTCCCTGAAGACTAAGAGGCTCCTTCCTTAGTTTAAGTGAACTGAAAGTATCAGCACCTGCCCCTCCATATGTCAGGGCACTCCACAGGGCCCCTTTTATAGTTGGTTACAGATGTGGTGTTTGCAGCTTTCCTACTGAAGGGCAGGGGGTGACTAGGGACTCCAGTGTACTGCTCTGAGGAATGGGGGGGAGGGGTTTGATGGGGGAGATGGTACAGTAGTAGGGTACTTGCCTGTGACAAATGGATTCAATCCCTGCTACCCCATGGTGTCCCCTGAGACCCACCAGGAGTGATGCTTGAGCACAGCCCAGTGTGACTCCCTAACAGCTGAGGGACAATTGAACTTCCCACTATTCGAGGCATTTACACTTAAGATTCAGGGGGAAAAAAAGCCTTGATTGGCTGTAGGATAAGCTGTTTTGTACTTCCTCAGGTAGCTTAGGTTTATCAGGTCACACCCATCTAAGGACACTGAACTTGTAAGCAATGTCCTTTCTGTGTGGACACAGGAAGACAGTTAATATTATGCTTTGTAACTTGGGAGTTGATTGACTCCGAATAATATTTACTCCTGGGCATCTGCATTCTTGACTCAGTTGCCCTAGCACCCCAAAAGCAGGGTTCCAACGATGGACTGAATGGATCCAGGGCAAGTTTTGAGCTACCCTGACATCGAAATGGGCCAGGCCAAAATGCCACGATACTCAACTACAAGTTGAGGGCATGATCATGGACAAATGCTGTCATGATCCAAAGTAAGTAACGACGAGACTAGGACCCTGTTAGGGCTAGGAAGACTAACCTGGCCTGAGGACTGCGGAATGTATAATGAGATGTTTATATCTCTTACTGTGGTCACACAGAATGACATTGCTAGAAATATTAGAAGTAGATTTACTTCAGCTATTTAAGTAGATTACTAGCTGAGGAAAGAACACACCCTTGTTAGGATACCACCCTTGAGCAGATCTCCTAGTAATCCAGAGTAATCTCTTTAGATGAGATTTTATCCTTGAGTTAATCTCCTGGAGGAGTGGTTTCACCTCTCATTGTTGGTTTGTCAATATTCAACCCACCTTTATGTCACCGCCTTATGTGATTGCTATATGAACTAAGACTGTAAGCTCAGAGAGAGGAGTCAGAAGTGAGAGGGCTCGGGTTCCAGAGATCCAGAGTCAGATCCAGAAGGAGAAAGGTTCCAGATTGGGGCCCAGGAGCGAAGGAGAGAGAGGAGAGACAGGAGTGAAGAGGATTGGAATAAACTACTATTGATATCGACTAGCCTGGCCCTCATTTCTTCTTCTGTCTGCCCTTGGCCAACAGCCGTCCCAATCCAGGCCACACATAGTGGCTCAAGAGCACCGAACGCGGGCGGTGAGACAGTGCCATCCAGTGAGCCCTCGAACACACAACCTTCGACGTGTTAAGATTTTACAATTGGCCTGACAATTTTATGAGTTTTTCAGAGTCCAGTGGAAAAATAGGTACTTAAGTACTTAAGATGAGTTTCATGCAGGACAGTAACTTGATAGATGAGTTGGAAAGGAGTGAGCCATCAGGTGAATCCAAACACGCATGCGTGGTCAGGGTGGGGAGAATCAGGGTGGAGCTGCCGAGTTCAGAGCACGCTACCTCAGCTGTGCCCAGGAACCAGGAGTTCTTGGTCTTGGCTGCTGTTGGGGACCCTCAAGCTGCTCTTTGCAAGGCAGGGTTGTGAAGGCTCCAAGGGTGGCCAAAGCAAGCCACTGTCCTGGTTGAACGTGCATTCACATGCAGGAGATAGACAGCAAATGAAAGTCCGATACATAGTACAATGGAAGGTGACTAGTACTTGGGAATTCAAGAAGAAAAGGGAAGAGGAATCTGGGTGACACTGAAGCCCGTTATAGTCATAGAGTAGGTCTCACTGTGGAAGTCAATCAGAAGAATTGTTTTGGGCAGAGGGAGTAGTGAGACTCTTACAAGACCTGGAGACTGGCTGGAGCTAGGGAGGGAGGAGGAAGGAAAGGTCTGGTTTGGGGGCTGTATATGGCTTGTCAAATGTTTTTGAGGACTGCCTTTATTCTCAGTGAAACCTTTATTGAAATGATGCTGCTTTAACTACAAACAACTTTTTGAGAGGGGCAGGAGGCAAACCCAGCTGTGCTCAGGGATCACTCTTGTCACTGCTCAGGGGACCAGATAGGACGCCAAGGATCTCTCTGGTCCCACAAACAACTCTTTAATTAAAAGAAAAAAATGTTAATACACCATGATCTGCAAAGTTGTTCATAATACAGTTGTTTCAGGCATTCGTTATTCCAACACCATCTCACCACCAGTGTGGACTTCTCTCCACCAGTTTCCCCAGGTGCCACCTTAACCAGCACAGATTTACTTCACTAGAGGCTGCCACAAGCGATCCAGGCAATAGGGCACTGGTTTGATGGATGATGACAGTAGAGGTGTTAGCAAGAGTGTGACTTCTGGACAATTTTTTTTGCTTTTTGCTTTTTGCTTTTTGGGTCACACCTGCTCAGGGTTAACTCCTGGCTCTGCACTCAGGAATTACTCCTGGCGGGGCTCGGGGGACCAAATGTGATGCCAGGGATCAACCCCGGGTCAATTGTGTTCAAGGCAAACGCCTGCTCACTGGACTATTGCTCTGTCTCCTGGACACTTCAAATATGGTGCAGCTTGAGGTGTTGTGGGCTGTGGAGAGAAGTTAGGATGAGTCCGTAGCTCTGGCAGCAGGAAATAGCCAAAATGGTAGGAAAAGGACCCTGTACTTTATCGTGTCTCTCAAATCTCAGCCGGTGGAACATGTTCTGAACCCTTGAGATTTGGGGGAGTAAGTAGCACTTTCTAGCCCAGGTCATCTAGGCTAGCCCTTGCAATCTGGTGGGTGATGCGTGCCGGTCAGCCAGACCTGCTGCTTAGAGAAGAGAATAGAAAGCTTTCTATGACCCTGCCATGGTTCTCCCTGATTTACTCCCACAAAACAGTGTATTTCAAGTGAAAACACATTCAGTTCCCAAAACCTAACTGACTTTGATGTGATGGTCAAACCTTTCACCAGGATGAGAATCAGATTCTTTTTTTTTTTTTAATTTTTATTAGTGAGACACTAATTAGGTACAGTTGTAGACTTACAAATTTTGTGCTTGGGTTTCAGTTATACAATGATCAAATACTCATTCCTCTACCAGTGCCCATTTCCCACCACCATGGATCCTAGTATCCCTCCCACCCCCCATCTCCCCCATCCCACCCTGCCTCTGTGGCAGATTCTTTTTAAAATGTCTCTTGAGGGGGCTGGAACGATAGCACAGCGGGTAGGGCGTTTGCCTTGCATGCGGCCGACCCGGGTTCGATTCCCAGCATCCCATATGGTTCCCTGAGCACCACCAGGGGTAATTCCTGAGTGCAGAGCCAGGAGTAACCCCTGTGCATCACTGGGTGTGACCCAAAAAGCAAAATAATAATAATAAAATAAAATGTCTCTTGCACCATATAATCTAACTTTAATGGCTGTATAAAAAATCTATATTTATACTATCACAATTTACACAATCTCATCTTTCTGGTTTTTCTATTTCTCTTAAAAATTTTGAGTTTTAAAACAATTGTTCCAATATCCTTAGTTTTTGAGCTTTAGGATTCTTTATTAAAAACAGCCTTACTGAGTCAAATTCTCTCAAATTTGTTAGACTTACATTTGTTCCCATGCCGATTAGCAGTGTGTAAAAATTGTTTATAAAGTTGAATATTTCAAGACTTTATTTTATAAATTGCATAAATGTAAGAAGATGCTGTAGTGAATAATAAAACAACAAAACTTGGATCCCCCCATAAACGCTGGAGCCCCCCTCCCTCCAAATGAAAAGAAAAACAAAAATTAATAATAAACATAAAAGGATGCTGCTTTGGAGGCCTGACCTCGACTCCCAGGGCTTCTGGACAGATGACAGCCTCTGCGTCCCTGTCAGTTGTGGGCTGAGGGGCTAACTATGGGAAGGGCACCCATAGTTAGATTATGTGCTTTCCAAAAGCCAGTGGTATTTTTCCCAAATTAATTTTGTGGCCACACCTGCTGTGCTCAGGACTTACTCCTGACTCTGCGCTGAGGGATCACTCCTGATGAGGCACTGGTGACCATACGGGGTGTCGGGGATCAAACTCAGGTCAGCCACATGCAAGGTAAGTGAGCTTCAACCCCTCCCAAGGTTGATTTTATAAGCTGTGTTCACTGCTGTAATGAGAATTCAAAATTGAACACTGCATAAATAACTAAAACATCAGTGCTCAAGTATTTCTGCTGATCGTAAGATGAACATATAATTTAAATATGATATCATTGTCACTGTCACTGTCCTCCCGTTCATTGATTTGCTTGAGTGGGCTCAGTAACATCTCCATTGTGAGACGTGTTACTGTGTTTGGCATATCGAATATGTCACGGGTAGCTTGCCAGGCTTTGCCGTGTAGGTGAGATACTCTTGGTAGCTTGCCGGGCTCTCCGAGAGGGGCGGAGGAATTGAACCCGGGTTGCCCGTGTCAATCGTGTGCAAGGCAACGCCCTACCTGCTGTGGTATCGCTCCAGCCCTAAATATGATATAAATGAAAGAAATATGAATACTGGAAGAAAGTTGATGGAAGCTAATGCTTTGGAAAGGAGCAAAGTTAAGTCATGAAAAATTAATGCGAGGGGCCTAAGGATGACTCTGGTGAACATGAAGTCAAAGGTTCGATCCTCAATGTCACTCAAACATCACACAGCAGGTCCTGAGGGCACAGTAATGCATGTGA